GGTCTCTCTCTCCACAGAGTTAGTAACAAAGAAAGAATATACATTTTAAAAATAACCAGGGTCCCTTAATTTACTTGCCACAGAACATATGAATATTAGAGCAGAATTTTCACTCCCTAGATTCGTGTGATGTCACTATTTCATTAGTCTTGTTTTCTAGTCACCACAGATTATTCCATCCAGACAGGATCAGAATTTCAAACATACAGCTTCAAAGGGTGGAGGGACCCTTTCAAGCCTCCTTCTGATATCAAAAAGAAACAGAAATATAAAACACAAGGCAAGGAAAGGGCACAGCTCCACTCCCTTCTCCCCCTTCAAGTGATCTATCAACGGAACCAAAGAAGCCTCCCAAAAACATGATCCCTCACGGTTAGGTTCCAGACTTCTGTATTACTGCAGCCAGAAGCAGAAACAAATCTGAAAGGCATTTTCAGTGTCCTCTCTTACCTAAAGTCTCTAGTCGTCCCAGCTTCTCATCCAAGCTACTGCCTGCCATGATAGATATCAGCCCTGGCAATTTCCTCTCTAGGTGGATTTTCAGTTGCTATAGATCATCTTTTGTAGCAAGTTCCATGCTGGCCAAAGCTGTCTGATTCCTTCCTATGCCTTGGACAACTTCATTGTCTTTGGAGGTCAAGCTAATGATGACCTCTTCAATCTGTTTAGCAAGCGCTGAGAGGGGATCCTCTAGTTGGCTTTGAATCATAGAAAATCAGGGTTGGAAGGGACCTTAGGAGGCCATCTAGTCCAACCCCCTGCTCAAAGCAGGGCCAATCCCCAACTAAATCATCCCAGCTAGGGCTTTGTAAAGCCTGACCTTAAAAACCTCTAAGGAAGGAGGTTCCACCACCTCCCTAGGTAACCCATTCCATTCCACCCTCCTAGTGAAAAAGTTTTTCCTAATATCCAACCAAAACCTCCCACACTGCAACTTGAGACCATTATTCCTTGTTCTGTCATCTGGTACCACTGAAAACAGTCTAGATCCATCCTATTTGGAACCCACTTTCAGGTAGTTGAAAGAAGCTATCAAATCCCCCCTCTTTCTTCTCTTCTGCAGACTAAATAATCCCAGTTCCCTCAGCCTCTCCTCATAAATCATATGCTCCAGCCCCCTAATCATTTTTGTTTCTCTCTGCTGGACTCTTTCCAGTTTTTCCATATCCTTCTTGTAGTGTGGGGCCCAAAACTGGACACAGTATTCCAGATGAGGCCTCACCAATGCCGAATAGAGGGGAATGATCACGTCCCCTCTGGACTCCTTTGGAGTCCCCTTTGGACTCCTTCTAAATTCTGTCCCAATAAGGAGATTACTTCTAGCTGACTCGACCTGATATTTGCCTTCAGATTCTCTCTCCATGAGGAAATTTCTTCCAGCTTCTGATCTAGTATTTAAAAGGACAATACTATTAATAAGGTAGCTATCTCTACTATAAATGAATGGGGTGGGAATCACTGCATTTCCTCTAGAGTGTGGAAGGAGAACTGCAGTGGCACACTTCTACCAATATCCCAGTATTAAAATATTTTTAATGGATAAAAAAACATGTTCCCCATTGGATCATGGATACAAGTGAGTCAAAAAAGAGAGATTAATTATGGCTGGCAAAGAAAGGAATTCACACAGTAACTTTAAACCATTAATTTGCAATCAGTCAGGATTTGAGCCTATCTCTGTTCAAAACTCAGTTTACAAGAAAATAATTTAGTCTCTATTTAATCAACAATGTTCAAAAACTTTTTGTGCTTCAGTCAGTCACCTACAGGGGTCAGATTTAATTTGGCACAATCCTCCAATTTTTCTAGGTCACTCATGACCCTATCTCTACCCTCCAAAGTATCTACCTCTCCCCACAGCTTAGTGTCATCTGTGAACTTGCTGAGGGTGCAATCCATCCCATCATCTAGATCATTAAGAAAGATGTTGAACAAAACCAGCCCCAGGACTGACTCCTGGAGCACTCTGCTTGATACTGGCTGCCAACTAGACATTAAGCCATTGATTACTACCCATTGAGCCCGACGATCTAGCCAAATTTCTATCCACCTTATAGTCCATTCATCCAATCCATACTTTCTTAACTTGTTTGCAAGAATACTATGGGAGACAGTATCAACATCTTTGCTAAAGTCAAGATATATCATGTCCACCACTTTCCCCATATCCACAGAGCCAGTTATCTCATCATAGAAGGCAATCAGGTTGGTCCCCTTGATGAATCCATGTTGACTGTTCCTGATCACTTTCCTCCCCTACAAGTGCTTCAAAATGGATTACTTGAGGACCTGCTCCATGATTTTGCCAGGGACTAAAGTGAGGCTGACCGGTCTGTAGTTCCCTGGGTTCTCCTTCTTCACTTTTTCAAAGATGGGCACTATATTTGCCTTTTTCCAATAATCTGGGGCCTCCCCCGATCGCCACAAGTTTTCAAAGATAATGGCCAATGTCTCTGAAATCACATCAGCCAACTCCCTGGGTACCCTCGGATGTATTAGATCTGGACGCATGGACTTGTGCATGTCCAGCTTTTCTAAATGGTCCTTAACCTTTTATTTCACCACTGAGGACTGCTCACCTCCTCCCCATACTGTGTTTCCCATAATAGCAGACTGGGAGCTGAACTTGTCTGTGAAGACTGAGGCAAAAAAAAAGCATTGAGTACTTCAGCTTTCTTCACATCATCTGTCACTTGGTTGCCTCCCCTATTCAGTAAGGGTCCCAGACTTTCCCTGACCTTCTTCTTGTTGCTAACTTACATGTAGAGACCCTTCTTGTTACCCTTCACATCCCTTGCTGGCAGCAACTGCAATTGTGCTTTGGCCTTCCTGATTACACCCCTACATGGTCAAGCAATAATTTTATACTCCTCCCTAGTCATCTGTTTATTCCTGTGCCCTCAATAAAGCTTTTTTTAAAATACAGCCAGCTCTCCTGGACTCCTTGCCCCCTCATATTAGCCTCCCAGGGGATCCTGACCATCAGTTCCCTCAGGGAGTCAAAGTCTGCTTTTCTGAAGTCCACGGTCCGTATTTTGCTACTCTCCTTTCTTCCTTTTGTCAGGATCCTGAACTCAATCATCTCATGGTCATGCTGACTACTTCCCCTACCAATTCTTCCCTGTTTGTAAGCAGCAGGTCAAGATGAGCATGGTCCCTAGTTGGTTCCTCCAGCACTTGTACCAGGAAGTTGTCCCCAACACTCTCCAAAAACTTCCTGGATTGTTCATGGCTTTATTGCTCTCCCAGCAGATGTCAGGGTTATTGAAGTCCCCTGTTAGAACCAGGGCCTGTGATCTAGAAACTTCAGTTAGTTAGCCGAAGAAATCCTCATCTACCTCATCCTTCTGAGATGGTGGTCTATAGCACATTCCCACCACGATATCACCCTTGTTGGTCTTGCCTCTAAACTTAACCCAAAAGACTCTCAACAGGCTTTTCTCCAGTTTCATACTGGAGTGCTGAGCAATCATACCACTCTCTTACATAATGCAACTCCTCCACCTTTCCCCACGTGCCTGTCCTTCCTGAACAACTTATACCCATCCATGACATTGCTCCAGTCATATGAACAGCCCCACCAAATTTCTGTTATTCCAATCATATCATAGTTCCTTGACTGTGCCAGGACTTCCAATGCTTCCTGCTAGTTTCCCAGGCTTCTTGCGTTCGTATAAATACATCTAAGGGTATGTCTACACTACGAGAGTAGTTCGATTTTACTTAAATTGAATATGTGGAATCGATATTACAAAGTGGAATGTGTGTGTCCACACTAAGGACAGTAATTCGACTTTGTGAGTCCACACTAACTAGATAACTAGCCCATTGGCATACTTTCTCAGTATGTATCAGGAGGCTTCCCCTCTTGCACCTTCCTCCTTGTGTGTCCTCCTGGTATCCCACTTCCTCAGTTATCTATGAGCTTAGGTCACCGTCCCTCGGCGAACCTAGTTTAAAGCCCACCTCATTAGGTTTGCAAGAATGCCTGCGAAGTTCATAGAATCATAGAATCAAAGGACTGGAAGGGACATCAAGAGGTCATCAAGTCCAGTCCCCTTCACTCATGGCAGGGCCAGCACCATCTATAACATCCCTGACAGGTGTTTGTCTAACCTGCTCTTAAAAATCTCCAATGATGGAGATTTCACAACCTCCCTAGGCAATTTATTCCAGTGCCTAACCTCCCTGACAGTTAGGAAGTTTTTTCCTAACGTCCAAACTAAACCTCCCTTGCTGCAATTTAAGCCCACTGCTTCTTGTCCTATCATTAGAGGTTAAGGAGAACAATTTTTCTCCATCCTCCTTGTAACAACCTTTTAGGTATTTCTAAATGGTTATCATGTCCCTTCTCTGTCTTCACTTTTCCAGACTAAACAAACCCATTTTTTTCAATCTTCCCTCATAGGTCATCTTTTCCAGACGCCTAATCATCCTTGTTGCTCTTCTCTGTACTCTCTCCAATTTGTCCATATCTTTCCCAAAATGTAGTGCCCAGAACTGGACACAATACTCCAGTTGAGGCATAATCAATGCAGAGTATAGTGGAAGAATTACTTTTCATGTCTTGCTTACTCATTCCTCTCTCATGTACAAGGGAACATTGTGCAGATGGTAATGGACAATATAAGTACTACAAATTACATGAACATACTCACTCATTCCATTTATCTGCCAAAGGGGTCAGACAATGGGATTGGTGTCTTCTTCATTATATCTATCTGGTGGCCCCTAATGATTTCCCCCACATAACTAGTAAATAATTTGGAATGTCTTGCATGAATTGTTTTCTCTTTCCAGGTCACATGGGCATTAGATGTGATGAACTTCATCTTTCACAAATGAAAAAATATTGCCTTCAATATTAACCTGTTCATAAAAGCGCTGGGTTATTTTCCTTCCCATCTCAGTGAAAAAAATGACCTCTAAACAGACATCTGTAAATATTTGAAAAAAAACCATTATTTTTATTATTCTCTTTATTATTATTAGAAAGGAAGATGGAAGAGCAGTTCAAGGTGGAGATGAAAACCAGACTGAGGGAAACTAAGATGTTACTGCATCAGAAATTAGGAAGTGCCCAAACACACTTAGAAGCACAACAACAGAATCCCCTCTTGCGTCTGGAAATACAGATTAAACAGCTGACTAATCAATTGTCCTCCATTGATCAAAAAGTTTCCCAGGAAATAGAAAAAAAGCTCCAAACTCTGCACAGCATGCTGTTTGCCAGCACAGATGAGTTGAAGCAATGGAAAGATCTCCTAGAGAAGAAACTTTCAACGTCACAGCCCACTGTGGAAATCGGTCATTTGGAAGAGAAATTAGAACAGCTAGAGAAATCAGGTAAGAGAAGACAATTTCAAAAATGCATACATACATACATACATACATACATACATACATATATTCAATTTAATATGGGGAGGATTAAAAAAAAGATTCTTTTAGCCAGTTTTGACAGTTTTTGACATAGAAAGACAACCTGAATGTCCCTTCCTCCCTTTGTGTATTACTCAATGGCACAAAAACTGTTAATGCAGAGGTAAAGTTGTTTAATGGTATGTCATTCCCTTGCAGAATGTTGAATTGTGCAAAACTCATTTTTTTTTCAAACCAGAAATGCATAACTCAGGCAGCCCATGCAAATTTCCCTCTGTCCTCTTTCAGTAATGCCCCAATATACCTATGTGTTTATGGCTAAGTGTTTGAGAATACACCAGGATCTGGCATCTCCTGCATCTTATAATGCTGAAAGTCAGTGTAAGTATGTTGAGGTATTGTTTGAAGATCCTTGAGAGCAGGTGACATGGGAAACCCTCCCCTTTCCTTTAAAAGATTTAGGTGGAATCATATGGGTAAGAAGGGGTGGGTTGAAGAAATAGTTGAAGTGCTTTATGTTTCAGCAACTGTGGGTTTGGCAGACTAAAGGTATGTATGTATGTATAACAGAGCATATTGGGGCATTGCTAAAAGAGATCAGCGTCATAGTTGTATGTGAAATTTCAATTGTTCATTTCTGGTTTTCAGAAGTTTCAGTTTTGCTCAACTCCAATGTTATGCAAGGGGACAATATTCCTCCAAGGCCTCTTAATTCTGCATTAACATAGTTTTGTGGAATTCAATCCCCCCGTTCCTTGAACCGGAATACAGATGTTGGTAGGAATTGTGTGTCATTTAGGCAGTTGTACATACAATGTACACCTATTTCCATACTCAGCCATTTAGTCCCTTCCCGGCCCCCACCCACAGAGAATGCCCCAGCCCGCACACACACATATTCTGTATTTGACATTTTGGGAGCCATCTCCAGGAATAGGGGGTTGCTTCCTATTTTGGATGGAGTTTTGCAGTCTACAAAGGCTATTTGATCCTTTCCTCCCTCCTATCACCCTGTGTCCCAGAAATCCAACAAACTTTATCAAGTGCCACAGGAAGGAAATTTTGTATTTTCATTCCCAACCTATAAAAAATGTGCTACTCATAGCTGCAGCTAGTAAGAAGTTTAGATCTGGCCAGACTCACTCTACCATGACAGATAGAGAGGGAAGGAAGATTTATGCACCAAGGATAAAGTTTTCTGCTGCTCTGCTGATGTTGCTTCACTGATTATCAGTCAGTAATGGCCTATTATCATTTTGACCTGAAGGAAATGATGACTCTATTTGTCCAGCGCTTGTGAGAGGGGGAATGAAGATTGTCTAATGTCCTTCTCACAAAAGCACAGAAAGTGCCCAAGCATGTACTTGAGGGATCATTCAAAGCCTTAGACTCTTCAGCCAGAGTCTGGTCATCTGGAGTTTGTTTGAGGACACATACTTGTCTCTGGTTATCTCTACTGGCTTCAGATATGAGATTTAGAGCACAGGACCAGCCCTCTGAGGTATTATTAGTTCCAAGATAGAAGAGCACTTGGAAAATTTAAAGGAGACTAGATAGACGGGTTGCTTTCTGGGACTTTATCCATTACCAGGAGGAGGCCTTCTACTCCATCATTTATCTATCAGAGACAGCATTCCTCACAGTGGTCATTCATCTTATTTCTCCTCTAGCCAAAGGTGTCTGCACCAGCACCAGCAACTGAACACTTCATTTCAGTCTCAACGGAAGAACAGATCTTTCAGGTCTAGCCCTAGGATGAGGGAACTAGCTCCCTGTTCTTCATCTTCAGCAGAAACAAGGCTGAACATTTGATGTGATGCTTATGAGTCATGGACCAACCAGACAAGTTTAGTCTCCTTTGTTATAAGGAGTCAGGCTGGCCCAATTTATCAACCAGTGGAGGCTAATGACATCAGACACATGGATAGAGGCAATTATAGACCAGGGTTACACCATAGAATATGAAAAACTCTTCCTGTCGAATTCCTCCTACTCTTCCCTTTTAAGCGACTTTTCCAAGAAAGTGATTTACAAATATAAGTTCAAAAGCTATTCCTGACAATAGTGGTGGAGGACGTACCCAAACAAATTTGGGGTCAGGGGTTCTATTCAAAGTATTTTCCGATACAGAAAAAAGATTGTGCTTTGCATCTGATCTTAGACTTCAGAAAATTCCAGTTTCAAAAGTTAACGTTGCCCTCCATATTTTCCTCACACAAAATTATAGATTGGTCACCACCCTCAGCTGAAAGGCTGGGAGTTTTCATATTGCTATCCAGTGCAGTCACCAAAAGTACCTGAAGTTCTTGGTGTTGAGATGCCATTCCTGATACAAGGTGTTCCTATTTGGGTTGGGAGCAACAGTGAGCTGGGTTTTGTGCGCGCGTGAATTTGTGTGTGATTGTAGCAAAGTATTTGCATGCAGCCACTTTCAGCAGCTAAAGTTCCCTTGCATCACATCGAAGTTGCAATCTCCCCCTTCTCAGATCAGAGGCTGCTTTTCAGGGTTACAAAGTCTAATCTCTGCCCAAGTCAGTGGATTCTTTTCATGTGTTTTTCCCTGACTCAGTGAAGGGAGAGCCTTTCTTCTGGAAACAGGACTTTAAGATTATAAGCAGTGATTTCCCAAATTCAAGCCTGTCGATAGCAGAAGGTCATTGTCTCTTTGGGACTGATGGGGTTGATTGGAGCTATCACTTATGTAACCCCCTCCGCTCTTCTGAGAATGCGAACAATGCAGCATTGTATGTTGCCAGTTTACACACCCCATAGAGACCGTCTTCCTAGGTTTATAACCATGCTCCAGAACACTGCATTCGTTGAGGTGGCGGATGAAGAGATTAACTATTCACCAAGGTATGCTGTTCATTCCCTCTTCTCCATCCGAGACAATAACATCAGATGAATCCAGCTCAGGACAGGGAGCTGGTTTCCCAATTCAGAGTCACTGGCTTTTCCAAGAAAAGAGCTCCCAGCACAATGTGTTGGAATTTGGAGCCATCTGGCTCTGAGATCCTTCCTCCCTCATGTAGAAGGGAACATGTGCAGGTGGTAATGGGCAATAGAGTCACTACAAATTAGCTGAACATAAGAGGGGAAGCTCATTCGTTCCACTTCTGTGCCAAACGGGTCAAGACTATGGAATGGGTGTATTCTTCATTACATCTATCTGGTGGGCCATAATGATTATCCCTCACCTAACCAGTAAGTAATTGGAATGTATTTCATGATTGTTTCTCTTTCCAGCTCACATGGGAAGGAGATGCGATGAGCTACATCTTTCAGAAATGAAAAGATATCCGACTTCAAAATCATGCTGTTCATAAAAGCGCTGGGTTATTCTCCTTCCCGTCCCAATGAAAAAAAAAAGTTCTTTTAAGAAACATCTGTAATTAACTGAAAGGAACTCTTGTTTATTATTTATTTTTATTATTATTCTCTTCCTATTTATTAGAAAAGAAGATGGGAGAGCAGTTGAAAGCAGAGATCAAAAACAGTCTGGAGGCAACTGAGATATTATTGGAAAAGAAGATGGGAGAGCAGTTGAAAGCGGAGATCAAAAACAGTCTGGGGGCAACTGAGATGCTGTTGGATGAGAAGTTAGGAAGTGTCCAAACACAGATAGAAGCCCGGCTACAAAATCCCCTCTCGGGTCTGGAAACACAGATTAAACAGCTGACTAATCAGTTGTCCGCCACTGATGAAAAAGTTTCCCAGGAAATCGAAAATAAGCTCCAAACTCTGCACAGCATGCTGTTTGCCAGCACAGATGAGTTGAAGCAATGGAAAGATCTCCTAGAGAAGAAACTTTCAACTTCACAGCCCACTGTGGAAATCGGTCATTTGGAAGAGAAATTAGAACAGCTAGAGAAATCAGGTAAGAGAAGACCATTTTAAAAAGACATACATCCAGAGAAATATTTATATAAAATATTATTTTTTACCCCAGAGTAGCATGGACGGGTCAGATCAGGCTGTACTTGCATCAGTCATACACAAGCCCTCTCTGTCGTTGAGAAGAACACCTTCCGGGAGTCTTACTGGAGCCACTTTAATTAGGGAAAGAATAACAAAAGAGCCAGTTTTAACAGTTTTTGAAGTATCAAAAGAACCTGAGTGTTCCTTCCTCCCTTTCTGTATTACTCAATGGCACAAAAACTATGTTAATGCAGAGGTACGCGTGCTTAGTGGTCTGTCATTCCCTTGCAGTTCTCAGGTTACCTGACTGATCGATGAAGGCATGATTGTTTACAGCTGAGAGCAGCAACGATTTTTCAAGAAAAGCATTCTGTACATTCCTGTTTGTTTAGAGGGTGGTTTCCATGAATATCTGGAGTTTTATAGCCAAGGACTAGCAGATACAGCCTAATGCATAGAATTCCTGAATGGTGTTAGTTATGAGCTAAGGACCAGTGTTCTGGGCCTTAGAATCCACCATACTCTTTGATAATATCATAAAGATTCTAAAGAATAGTTACATTATATAAATGAATGAAATATACAGAAAGAAAAGGACTAAAAGGGATAATACGTACTAACACAAAAATTCTCCTGTGCTGCCTTGTGGAGCTTTATGGTAGAAGCTTCTCCAAGAGGTGCCTGCTGGAGCGCACGTGCGCCATCTCCAAACGTCCCCTTAGTGTCTCTAACTGGTCGAAGGCCAGGTCCGCCTGCAGAGGAGGATAGAGGAAGAATCGGGAGACCTGGTTCATCTTGGGTTATGCCAACCAATGCCCTCACCGCTTATGATCCTGGATGCCACCTAGTGGAAAGAGTGGCAGCCGTTGACTTTTTGGGCCCTACGAGATTTAACCACAACTGTTGTTGGATACAAAAAGAAAAGGACTAAAATTCTTAATATGTTTTAACAGGTGCTAACTGAAACTTTCTCCGTTAAGTTGCTCTTTATATAATCGCATGTGTGGACTGTGCTGCCTTGCAGAGGAGGATAGAGGAAGAATCGGGTGACCTGGTTCATCTTGGGTTATGCTGACCAATACCCTCACTGCGTATAATCCTGGATGCCACGTAGTTGAAAGTGTGGCAGCCGTTGACATTTTGGGCCCTACGAGATCAAACCACAACTGTTTTTTGATTACCTGTCTAAAATCACGGAGGGACTAAGTATTGTCTGAAGAGGATCCAGGGGTAATAAGTCCTCAGATGGGTCTCTTCCTGATCCAATGGTGCCGATTGTGGTACAGGATACCCTCTTTGAGCAAGAGGATGAAGAACCAGCTCCTGCTTTGGAACAAGAGCAACTGAACATAGATTTCGATCCAGACTTATCACTTGATGAGAAAGTGGGTGTGGCTTCAGTTTCCTTTTCTTCTGAGGATGCCTTACAGTTCCATGACCTTGAAGATCATTTAGTAACCACATTGACTATACTTTCGGTGGCCATTTAGAATTCCCCAGCCTGCACACATGCATATTTTGTATTTGACACATTGGGAGCTATGTCCAGGATTAGGGGATTGCTTTCCATTTTGGAAGGAGTTTTGCAGTCTGCAAAGGCTATTTGATCATCTCCTGCCTCCTATCTCCCTGTCTCCAAGAAAGCAAACAAACTTTATCAGGTCCCACAGGAAGGATTTTTTGTATTTTTATTCCCATCCTATAACAAATGTGATACTCATGGCTGCAGCTAGTAACAAGTAACAAGTTTAGATCTGGCCAGACTCACTCTTCCCTGATGCATAGAGATGGAAGGAAGATTTATACACCAAGGGGAAAGGTGTTTTTCTGCTCCTGCTGCTGCTTCTTCACTGATTATCAGGCAGTAATGGCTCGTTATCATTTCCACCTGAGGGAAAAGATTAATGTATTTGTTCAATACTTGCCAGAAGAGAAATGAAGATTGTCTAATCCCCTTCTGTACTGATTCACTGTGGGGGCCCTCACACTGCTGGTCCTCGGCAGGCTCCACCACCTCACTATGTCAACCGTATGCTGGCCGCCGTGAGGAATGAAGAGGAGTCTGCTCGCAGCTGGGGCCCAGGCCTGTGCTCAGTCTGGACGGTAAACAAACTCTCAATTGTTCCAGGATCAGGGCGGGGCAACAATGAGTCTAAATCTCAGTCCTGTGTGTAGGCTGAGAGGCAAAGGGTCAATTATTCCAGACCCCGGGATCAGGGCGGGACAGCAAAAAGTCTAGGGCTCAGGCCTATGCGGCAAACAAACAGTCAGGAGGTGCTCCGTCATGTGATTAAAGTTAGCCGGAGCCCCATGGAGGCCAAAGGACAAATTGATACATTCTTGTTGGAGTAGTGTGATGAACTGGAACTGTTCTTAATGTGGTCTTTGAATGCTGAGAGGGGAGTGTGGCTAGGATGGTCTGCATTGGGGGATGGGAGACTGGCCATGAGGGAGAATACCTGAGCATGTAACATGAGAACCCAGGAAGGGGTTAGAGGCCAGGTGACACCTTTGCCCGGGACACTGAACAAAGGCTGGAGAGACAGTTCAGAGCTGGCTGGGGGAATGGCTGGGAGGCAGACGGGGCTCTGATCTCCCAAGGGGGCTGGGGTGCCCTGGGACCCCAAGATGGACCTAACTGAGGGGGTCCTGTTGTCTGTGCCTGCAAGACCTGTCTTGGACTGTGTTCCTGTCGTCTAAATAAACCTTCCACTTTACTGGCTGGCTGAGAGTCATGGTGAATCGCAGGAAGCCGGGGGGTGCAGGGCCTTGTGTCCCCCCACACCTCGTGACAAGTAGCGATCGCCATCTTCTCTATGGAGCATGGGTGCAGGGCTATCTGCCAATACCCTTTTGTGAGATCAAGTTTGGTGATATAATTGGCAGTTCCAAGACAGTCAAGGAGCTCATCAATCCGGGGAATCTGATAGGCGTCAAACGTTTAGATTGCATTTACCTTCCAAAAGTTGATACAGAAGCGATGGCTCCCATTGGGTTTTGGGACCAGTACAATGGGGCTGTTCTACTTTCTTCACGACCGCTCAATGACTACCAATGCTACCATCGTTTGGACCTCCTTCTCCACAATCTCCCACATGTGCCGCGGGAGCGGGCAGGTCTCTTCACGGACCACCTGTCCAGGGTTTGTTTGGATCATGTGCCATACGACGGTGGTCTTGCCAGGGAGTGCGGTTAAGGTCTTCCAGAAGGTTTCCAACAGGCACCGAGCTTGTTTCTGCTGATCAGCCGACAGAATGTCACCCAATTGGGGCTCCTCCGTCTTGTCCAGCTCAGGCACTTGGGTCCACTTTGGGAGGGTAGGGGGCAATTATCAATCCTTCCCGGGCATGCCAGTGTTTCAGGAGGTTCACATGGTACACCTGTTTCTTCTTCCTCCAGTCAAGCTGGTGAACCTCATATGTGACAGGCCCCAGCTGATGGATGATTTTGTAAGGGCCTTGCCACTGGTCCAGGAGCTTCGACTCCTCTGATGGGAGGAGTAGAAGTACTCGATCCCCAGGCACAAAGGTTCTCGTTCGGTCCCCGTGGTTATAGCACCACTCCTGGATCCCTTGGGCCACCTGAAGATTCTCTCGGGCACGGGTCTCGGCACGGTTAAGCCAGTCTCACAATTGCAGCACAAATCGGAGAAGTCCCTGGGAAGTTGAGGGGTGTGTTCTCCCAGGCCTCTCTCATCAAATCCAGTACCCCGCGGGGCTGGCGTCTATACAAGAGTTCAAAGGGGGACAACGTGGCTGTAATGTCCAGGGCATCCAGGATCAGCTAGCAGCCCTGGTGGCCCAGGCCAGTCATCTGTTCCCTTGGCACCCTCTGCCATTTCCCAACTTGGGAGGCCATGGGAGATGCCTCGCATCTCCAGTGGTTGCCTCCCTTCTGAGCTTTCTGGACCACCCTTTATACTTCCTGCCCTCCCACCCACTTCCTGTGAGAGGGGCAACTATGCCCTGGTGCTGCCCACCAGGGCTCAGTGCAGGGGTCCTCCTCACCAAACTTTCTCACAAAAGCACAGAAAGTGCCCAAGCATGTACTTGGGGCATCATTCAAAGCCTTAGACTCTTCTGCCAGAGTTTGGTCATGTTTCCCAGCACTGTTCTGCTTCAGGTACCCTATTCCCAGGCAGCTAGGTCCTTCTCCCTCCAAAACTGGAGAGAGACTGCTCTAGCTTTGCCTCAGCCTGCACTTCTATCAGACCAGCTGTGCCCTGATTGAGCTAGTCACACCTCTGGCCAGCTACCCAGCCAGCCTCTCAATGTTTTAACTCAGGAACGGGGTAACTACAAATGTTGCCTGACTGAAGTTAAGGATGATTCTAGATTGCCGAATAACATGCTCAACCATAATTGCTTAATCAAACATTATCCATCAGAGATTAGTAGAGTATTATACAGAAAGCTACATTATCACTTTTGATGTAAGGTAAAGTGCTGGCTTTGTGTCTCTTCTTCACTGTAACGGGTGGGATGCACACTTTCAGGCCACAACTAAGTTCCAAGTCTTCTGTCCTTATATAGACAAATGCACCCATCTTTGCCAAGAATATTATCTGAGAAGGATATGTTCTGATGCCATTTCTTTTAATATGCATACCTTCCAAGTTTACCTGATTGATCGATGAAGGCATGATTATTTACAGCTGAGAGCACCAACAATTTTTCTAGATAATATCATTCAATGGGTTCTTCTTCCATCCATAATCATTCTTCCCTGTTGATTCCCCAATAGGAAATATCTGCCATAACAAACATGGTCTATCAATCTCCCAGTGTTATATTTTCCTATGTAAGCATTATATACATATGCGTGTTTATTAAGGGGGTAGTTTCCATGAATATCTGGAGTTCTATAGATGTGGAGTGCCAACGATTAGTAAATACAGCCTAATGCAGAGAATTCCTGAATTGGGATACTTATAGGGTAGGGACCAGTGTTCTGGGCCTTAGAATCCTTTAAATAAGCAAAACACTATGTTCAACCATGTTATGATGATGTTCTCAGAAGGGCTAGTTCATAGAGGCTAGTTCATCCTCCAAAGAAGATGGAGCTAGGCTGTTCTCAGTGGTGGCAGATGACAGAACAAGAAGCAATGGTCTCCAGTTTCAGTGTGGGAGGTCTAGGTTGGATATTAGGAAACACTATTTCACTAGGAGGGTGGTAAAGCACTGGAATGGGTTACCTAGGGAGGTGGTGGAATCTCCATCCTTAGAGGTTTTTAAGGCCTGGCTTGACAATGGCTGGGATGATTTAGCAGGGGATTGGACTAGATGACCTCCTGAGGTCTCTTCCAACCCAAATATTCTATGATTCTATATGTATCCTCCAGTTAGGAGCCATTAATCTGATTCACATAAAACATATGCTACCAGATCTAATATATGCTGATATGTCAAAATTTAAAATTTTCATTTTCAACTAAACTTTTGTTGGGAAAGTTTCTCAAGGCTAGGATGGAACTGCTCTTCAAAACCAGAGGAAGAAAGAGAAAGAATGCTAGCTTCCCAACTCTAGAATAGCCAATAACTGGGTGGTTACGGCACTCACTGGGAATGTGGGAAATCCACATTCAGGTCCCTACTCAAAATGAGGTGGAACAGGGGCTCAAATGTGGGTCTCCAACATACAAGGAGAATACTATAACTATAGGGCTATTGGCTATTCTGGAGTGGGCTTGTTAGATGTGAAAAAATTTGAAAGGTCTCACTTCCCATCAGAATGAAAGCAAAGGTGAAAACCTAATTTTTTTAACCGAATTCTTCATTTCCAGCCAACCCTATATGCAACTCCCTTTCAAATTTATGGAAGAATTTTCCCTGTTTTATCTGTAACTCAAGACAGCCTTTGTCATAGCCACTATATCATCTGGGGGAGTGCGTGAACTACAGGCTCCTCTGGCTGACATCTCAAGTATGATTTTCACAAGGATGAAGTGATTCTTCACACTAATTTCCTTCTCATTTTGTTAAAAAAAATCATCTCAATCAGCCTCTGAACTTGCCAGTATTCTTCTTTAGACCTCACTCCCACCTAAGAGATGTTGAACTACACACCTTAAATGCAAACTAGGTCTTTAGCTTTTTACCTAAAGAGATCTAAGAAATATAGAGTCACCTAGACTGTTTTTTGTCTGATCTTCACTCATTTAATTGTAAAATACAAATGTATCCGAATGTCTATCTAAATGGATTAGGGTTTTTATTCAGAAGTATTACAAAAAGACCTCATTCCCTCTCCCAGAGGGACTTAGAGCACACTCAGCTAGGACTAAAGTCACTTCCATGGCCTGCCTTAGAGATAATTACAATCTGCAGAGTTGCCATGTGAAGTTCAATTCACATATAATAAAACATCCCTCCTTACACCTGACATCTAAAATGGATGACAAATTTGGATAAGCAGTACTACAATCGCTGTTGAACTAGTCCGCCTCATCTCACCATCCTGCTTCCTAAACTCCTATGAGCAGGAATGTGAAGAGACCACTGGAACAAGGAAAGAAATTTATTAACCTGTAGCTGGAGTTCTTCAGGATGGCCTCTGCATGTTCACACTCCCCTCCTGCCCTTCCTCAAAGTCCTCTTAACAGCTGAAGAGCATTCAAAGCTATCAGCGCAGAGGACACAAAAACATTCCAATGGGCACTGCTTCTGGAAATGTTCACCAGTCCAGACTGCACCACTTGGGCATTGCATGAGTGTGAACGTTCAGAGGCCATTCTAAGGTCTCTAGTTACAGGTGAGTAACCTTCATTTCCAACATGCTTCAAGATATTTTTAACACTTTGATAAAATATCACATACACAGCTTGTAAAACAAAATGATTTGGCACACAAAAGAATCAGTTGAGTGAAATGCTGGTTATGTGAAAAGATTGGTCTCAAAAGGAGGAATTGGAATGTATTTAAGGCAAGCCAAGAGGAGAGCATTACAGAGAGTGGATGTCAGCAATTATGGGGAAATTACTGATATAAACTGAATGGGAAAGATTGAAGGTAAGGGAGAAGCCCTTATAATACATCAGAGATTACAAATTAGTTGTGCAATAGAGTTATGAACCAATGGCTTCAAGGTCCAACAAACAACGTTTTCTTCAAGTCATTGTGGAGAACCATTCAGTTCCTCTTCATCAGAAGCCAGCTAAGCTCAAAACTTCACACCTTCTTCCTAACCAGCACCATCTAAAAAGCCTTCCATTTAAGTGCTGGGTAAAGATAAGTTATCTTCCCTTCTCCCAGTAAGATATTTCATCCCATCAAAATCAGCCACAACACGAGGAGCTCCAAACACTTTCTAAACATGTAATAAATGAAGCCTCCTAATGTCCCTGTGAGACGGAGTATTATTTTTTTTTCATTTTAGAGATAGGAAAACTGGTATTCAGACACTGGTCTAGGGTGACACAAGAACCTGTGACAGAGGTGAGAATAGAACCCATAACTCCTGGTCCTATACAATAGCTACAGCAGTTACACTCACTGTGTTTCTTCCTTTTGGAAAGAGAATGTTGGTTTGAGATTCCCACTTTCTGCCATGGGGAATATGGTAGAAACCAGGAGAATTGCTCAAAATGGTGCTAAGTTTCACTTTAAGGTCTGTGTAAACAACCTCACTAATTCCATCCCTCAGGGATCACATTTCTAATCTGCCTGTTAGGGCATGTCTACCACAGGTTGTGTTTTAATATGTATTAGTAGGTTGTGGTCAATGCTAACACATCTTTAAAGGTGTTAAACTCTGTCTGTGCTAGGTGCAAATGCATGCTTTAAAACCTGTTAACTGAAAGGTGTGAGCTAACCTTTTGAAAACATCACATATATTTCCTAATCTAAACATGGTCTTACTGAGTCATTGCACACTCAGTCCTCCCAATGACATGATTACAAGACTGTGCCTAGTGGGTATCTGCAACTGTTAAAAAGATGCTAAAAAGTATGTCTACTCTAACTTCCCTAGGCATTTATATTGTGATTTCGAGCACGTTTCCATTTCTAAGTCACCATAATATAGTGGTGCCAGAAGGCCTGGAAAAATGTGAGGATCAAGCATCTCTGTGTGGGGGAGGGGTGCTGGGGGAGGCTCCTCTTCCATGCTCTGCTGCCCAACCCTGGCTTCGGCATCCCGGCTGAGCCACAACCAAGCACCGATGTTCTCAAAAAGGGGGCTGGGCATGGCTGCCCTGCTTAAAAAAGGGAGGAGGGGCAATTATCTCTTCTACCCCACTGTCTCCAGCACCTATGCCACAATAACATACACCCTTCCCCAAGGAAACTGTTGATATTTGTGTGTTTGTATTTTGTTAGATTTATTTTTAAGATTCTTATTGCAACAAGATAACATCAGAGAAGCAGGGTGTAAACTGTGTGTTGAAGACTAATATTCCTGTGGTTATTTGAATCCACAGACAGACCCAATCCTGCTGCCATTGAAGTCGACAGGAGTTTATCAACTTCCATGGGAGCATGATTGGGCTGCATGCATATGTGCATGTGTTTCTGTGAGGATGTAGTACAGAAAAAGAAAGAAACATGCATTTAATCACTGAGAAATGTTATCTGTTTTCTTCCCTACATTTAGACACTGAAAAGCGTTTTGAAGCAGGTAAGGTTTCCTATATTTCTACCAAAGTGTCAATCAGGGTCAAGTCTCACTTTGCCAAATGGACAGAAAACAGATGAGACATCACATGAATATTTTATGCCCCAAATGCAGAGAGCTGCCACTGTAGGGGAAGAAGAAACTTTAAATGTGCATTGTTGTGTGGTGGTGGTGTTTTTTATACAATGTCAATCCTAAGAGACAGAAATTTTGTCTGTGTTGCCAGTTTTCAAATGTGAGTATACTGCTTTAGTAGTAATTGTTGAAAAAGTGATCAGTGTATGCGTGTGCGCACACACACACACACACACACACACAAACACACTTGTATTAGTTTGGTAGCTTTGTTGGAATTACTAATCATGTTGCTCACATGGTGTGCTAAAGGACAGCATCCAACTTGTAGTATCATTAAAGCCTCTGGGGAAAATCCAGTTTGTGTTGGAAGTCTCCAGTGTGGGAAAAGGTTCTCTTTGTGGTCTAAGATCCTACAGTTTCTTTGGCCTCAATGCCTTGTTCCATTTAAAAGAGATAAAATAATGGCTCTGAGGGCTTTTCTATGTTGGGTATTGTCCTACCTAGCTATAGCAGAATAACTATTCAACTATAGCTATTCCACAATAACTCCCTCTGTGGACATTATTCTGAAACAAAAGTGACTTTATTGCAGAATAATTACTGTGGAAGTGCAGTAATTATTCTAGAATGAAATCACTTTTATTTTGGAATAGAGAGGCCACATGTGGGATATAGTTATGTTGCGATTTCCCCCCTGTGTAAACAAGGCCTTACTGGAACCAGAAAGCTCATGTATAAACTGATTTTTTTCTGATCTTTTTACTGTCTTCTTTTCAGAACTGAAAAAACTAAGAACTGAAATAGGTAAGAAAAATGCATTTGCAGTTAATGAAAGAAACCATTCTCTAGTAATCATGTACTAGATCATAGTCAATATAGCAGTGTTCTGTACAGGGAAGGATGGAAAATGTACCTTTCTTTGAAGCAGGTGGCACTAGCCACTATTGGGGACAGGATAGTAGACTAGATAGACCCCGGTTCTGATCCAGTCTGGCAATTCCTGTGCTCATAAAGTACATGCATATTGGTTATGTCATTTGTGAGTGAACACTGAAGTGCCATTTTTGTGCATTTTAATTTCTGCAATTTGCCTGTTGCACAAGTAAATTGTTCCATGCGTTGTCTGACATCTTCACTTACCCTCAGACTGAAAGAGTCCTTCAGCCAGAAGAAGAAAAATCAGCAGTAGGTGCATCATCTCAATCAATGTTTGTTTCTTATTTTGATTTCAGATTGGAGAAGGGCTCGCAACAATGCAGGTAAAAGAATACACAAAGTGGTACCCAGTTACTGCACTGACAAGTGCAGTGTGAGATCCTGAACAAAATAAGGAATGAAATTATTAATACTGTAAATACACTACGAACATGGGTCCATATCCTCTAGGACAATCAGGCTTCTTTGAATTGCGTCAATGGCTCAAAGCAGCCCTAAAGCCAGCTCAGTCCCTGCAAGATTCCCCCAGTACACGGTAATCCACACCAATTCTTTACCACCTCCCTCCTGGTTTCAGGTACAGCGTGTGGCTGGTACAGTTGAAAAAATGGGATATGGGTCCCTCCTATGTCCTAGTTATCCCCAGCTGCAGGGCAGCCACTTGGATCCTGGACAGCTGCTGTAGTTTTGACTAGCCTAGAGACTGTTCTAACAATAACACATATCCCAAGGATTGGGGGAGGTCAGACACACAGGTGGAGCCTCACCTGCAGCTCAGCATCTGGGTCACAAACTTGTCATCTTAGAGCCAAATCCTGAGGCGATCACTTGATTTGTCCCTCACTTCAGAAAATCTCCCGTTTATTTTAGGGCCTGATTCTGATCTCTCAGCAGCTTCACACTGGTGTAATTCCAGTGAATTCTGTGGAGTTACTCTGGAGTCAGTGAGATCAGGATCAGGTCTTCCGTAATTTTTGACTGAGGAAAGACCTCAGGGTTTGGGCAACAATGAAGGTACAGAAGATGTGGTGGCAGGAATGGTGGTTGCAACAATGCTGGCGATTTGGTGGTGGTGATGGTGGAAGGGATAATGGTGGGAATGTTGTCAGTAGGAGTTGAAGAGAAGGTGACAGCAGTGGTAAGATGTTGCTATGGTGATGATGGTGACTGATGCTCACAATTCTGATGGAGCCAATAGTGGTGATGGTGGCTCTGATTAAACTCATGATAGAGGTGATGGTGACTGTGGGCATGATCAGGGACACAGCGGTATTAACAGAGATACGAAAACAGTAAATTGGAGCAGCACCAGGTCAAGGGTAACAGGCTGCCCAGACCTGCTGAGCCCCCTTGCACTCTAAACATTCAGTGCGAGGCACTCTGTGATCTCCATGCTCCTTAAGTACATGTAAGCGCAGACCTTCAGCCTTCTTCATTGGGGAGGACCCAACCAGTCCCCACTCTCCTGAGAGAGGCAGCCACACCTGGAACAGCACTGGGATGGGGCAGGGCCGGCTCCAGGCATCAGCTTACCAAGCAGGTGCTTGGGGCGGCCACTTCGGAGAGGGGTGGCAGGTCCAGCTGTTCGGCGACAATTCGGCAGACGGTCCCTCACTCCTGCTCGGAGCGAAGGACCTCCCGCCAAATTGCCGCCACAGATTGCGATCGCGGCTTTTTTTGTTTGTTTGTTTGGCTGCTTGGGGCGGCCAAAACCCTGGAGCCAGCCCTGGGATGGGAACTGGGGTCAGGGCTTGAGAGGCTCAGGATGATTTAGAACCAGGCAACACCAGCAGAAGTGCAAACAGAAATGACTAGTGAAAGTGTGATGGGCAGTGGGATTGGGACTGGGAGCTGTTTAGGATTAAAATGACCTTGGGCATGAAATGCAGGGGACAGTGAGGATAACCAGCTATAATGGGAAGAGTTAAACAATTAAAATACTGTTGGGTTATTGGAGCAGGAAAGGGCACAGTTGGTCAGTAAGGGTGTGATCCTTTGGTGAAGACTTTAACCAATGAGGGGAGGACTACGTGCCACAAGAACTGAAGGTCTCACCCTTTCCTTAAGGTTATCTGTCCTTTTCATTTCATGACTTCCTTGTCTGCTCAGGTTGTAAGCTCTTTAATCAAGGACTGTGTCCATCTCTTCTTCTGCAGCACTCAGCACAATATGTTTTCAGGCCTCTAGGCACTAGTAACACAGGGATCATGACAGTTGTACAGAAGTAACAATACTACATTTTTGAGAGAGTTTTCAACAACTTATCCTTTGAGTTCATTTGAATAATCACTGCCTGTGTTTTGAAATGAACTTTTCATCCTAGTTCTGAGCTATGAACTAAATACTGAGCCAAATACTCTACATAAACTTCAAACACATTTCTGAAATGTTTCACCTCTACAGTCAATGTACAAGATGAAAGGGCTAAGTCATGCAAGACTAACTTAGGGAAAACTGCTATTGAAACTGCAGAATTAGGCCCAATGCTTCCCCTTCTCCCAGCTCAAGCTGTCATTATACCAGTGGTTCTCAGAATTAAAAATCTCTCTTTGCAGGTGACATCATTCTTGATGCAGGCACAGCCCACCCCAACCTCTCCATTTCTGGGGATAAGAAGAATTTGAAACATGAAGCCCAACCTCAGAAAGTTCATCAAAAGCCAGAGAGGTTCGATTCGACTGTCTGTGTGTTGGGCTCTGAAAGATTCTCCTCTGGAAAGCACTACTGGGAGGTGGATGTTGGGAGCAGCACTGACTGGGACCTGGGAGTGGCCAGAAAATCCATAAAGAGAAAAGGAAAACTTTCCTTGTCCCCTAAAGAGGGATTCTGGGCTCTGGGTGTGAGTGGGAAAGATTGTTGGGCAAAAACAGACCCATGGACCCGGGTCCTAGTGCAGAAAAAGGTCAAGAAAATTGGAGTTTACCTTAATTACCAAGATGGGCAGGTGACTTTTTTCAATGTAACTGACATGTCTGTGTTGTTCACATTTAATGATTGTTCATTCTCAGGTGCTGTTTATCCATTCTTTAAAAATTCCCACAAAGAAACATCAATGAGAATTTGTTCTATAAAAGAAGACTAATCATTTTAAAATGTTGTGAGAACTACAGATAAAGTCCATGAACCACTAGGTAACCACCACTAGGAAATCTCATTGATAACTTTATTCTTTGTCCCCCAGGACCTTGATGTCTGGGAAGGAAATATTTGAACCACTCCGTTTTCCAGTTGTACATAATTTATTATCAAAACTAAGTAATGGAGAAAAGGGAAGACAAAATAATAATAACAATATATAAATAAAACAAAAAAATAAAATAAGTAAATGTAAATATAAAATTGTCGTATCAATTCAATTATCAGCATAACTAAATAAAAACAATATTAAGTAACTCCTCTATATACAAGCTGAGGTAATGGCAGTCCATTTACCTATCAGCCAAAACTACTTGAACTTTGTCTCAGTTAGGTCTAATCTTATATTCCAGGCTGGTACAAAGGGGAGAAAAACAAACCAAAAGCTAAAGCTGGTGTTTGAAACACAGTTTAAATGCCAACAATGAGCTGCCTCCAAGATTTCAGTGGTGAAATTATAGTAATCCTTATATGGTCACATGAAATCTTCCTAATAATTCAGGATAATGGAACGTTTTATATTTAACAAGGCCACAATTATAACTAATGACAATTTCTTAGATTTTAAGTTAATTTCCAGCTTGAAAACAATCACTCAGAATGATTTAGCCATACACAGAAATGAAAATTCCTCAAGATTTTTTTTTAAGTTTCTATATTTTGCAAGCAGATGTTTCACTTTATTGATTGGTGATGTAACGACTAAATTCGAACAGGTGCTTTAACATCAAAATCTGAGTGAAAGCTTAGACTTTAACCCTAAAAGGTGGTTTACCTTAAAAATCATAATTTTAGGTTCACATTTCAGGGTATCACTACTCATGTTATCGTGGTGTATCTTTAAAATCCTCTCAACAATAAAAATATCATAAAGAGAGAAATATAATGTTTTTATTTATTTATTTATTTTACTGTGTATTGATTGCAGTCATATCTTAATTATACTTAAAGTTATTTTAAGGAGAGTGGACTAAAGCCCATTTGCATCCTTGTATGGAACAAAGGGGCTGCAGGAGCTGGTGAAATCTCTGCGTGGTGAAGACAGGACTGGCTCTAGGCACCAGCAAACCAAGCATGTGCTTGGGAAGGCACAATTCCAGGGGCAGCACACTTGCGCTCTCGGAGGTGGGGGTTTTTTTTTTTTTTTTTTTCAACAATTGCGCTCTCAGAGGTTTTTTTGTTTTTTGTTTTGCTTGGGGTGGCAAAAAACCTAGAGCCAGCCCTGATGAAGTGGGTTCCAGCCCACAAAAGCTTATGCCCAAATAAATTTGTTAGTCTTTATGGTCCTACAGGACTACTCATTGTTTTTTATTGAAAAAGACTATCATGGCTACCCCTCTGAAACTTGTCACCTTTATTTCTGTTCCCATTTTCATATTGTAATGTCATATGTATCCAAAGGAATGAAGTGAGCCCACATTATAGAAAAATCCAACTACATTTAATAAAATGGAATAATATAAACATATGGATGGCAGGGTTGAAAACTGTTGTCAGAATTCAGAGTAGCAGCCGTGTTAGGCTGTATCCGCAAAAAGAACAGGAGTACTTGTGGCACCTTAGAGACTAACAAATGTATTAGAGCATAAGCTTTCGTGGGGCATAAAAGTCCATAAAATATATGTTTCACTCTATATGCATCCGAAGAAGTGGGCTGTAGCCCACGAAAGCTTATGCTGTAATAAATTTGTTAGTCTCTAAGGTGCCACAAGTACTCCTGTTCTTTTTGTTGTCAGAATGACTCCTCAGTCTTGTCTTGACTAAACGTGTCCAATTGTTTTAAGCTGTTCTCAAAGGTCAGATTGTCTAAACCTCTTATAATATTTGTGTTGTGTTCTACTGGACTCTTTCTAATTTCTCCATTCTTTCCTAAAGTGTGGCATGCACAACTGTACACAGTACACAATCTGAGAACTCACCAGTGCTGAGTATAGCAGGACAATTACCTTTCATGTCTTACATACGACACTCCTGTTTTTACATACCAGAATGACATTGGTCTGTTTCACAACAGCATCACACAGTTGATTCTCATTCAATTTGTGACCCACTATAACCCCAGATCCTTTTATGCAGTACAACTGCTTAGCCAATTATTTCTCCATTTTGTAGTTGTGCATTTTATTTTTTCCTTTCTGATATCTCCTTTAAGCATCACTGAGATTCACAAAACCCCCACTCAGCTGCCCCCTTTCCATGCAGATGCCTGAAATATCTAGACATGTAATTTTTGCTGTAAATTACCTCTAGGTGCTTAAGTTTCTGCCTGTGAACATGCATGCTGCACCTCAGGCAGTCTTCTGGACTTTTATGCCCCAGCAAGATCCTCAAAACAGCTTGTCAACATGCCTCAGTGGGTCACAGCTGAGAATGCCAAATTCAGGACAAACTGATGAGAAATAGGGCAGACTCACCCAAAATGGGGGTTATTCTATCATTAGATTATACCAAGCCAGTAACAAAAGCGACCTTCTGTCTCACCACCCTGGTTAACAAGAAATCAAAAATGGAGTGTCCTTTGGCATCCGAACCATTGGCTCACCGCCCAGACACTGGACTATAAAATGAGTGGTTACTGAAAACCAATTTAATCAAATTTAGGGTCCTTCTAATCCCAAGATATCAGGCACTTAGCCAGCAAAATGTATAACTCACATCATACCCAATAATCATGCTGATGCCAATCCTTTAATAAATAAGAACTAAAGGTTTAATAATAAAAGAAAAGAAGAAGAGAGTTATTAATGGTTAATAGATCATATACATATACGTGATTTTTCAATGTTCATCGATGAGGATCATAGCAGTGATGGGATAAACTGCTAGCTTGCAAAAGTTCCTCTGGAAATTACCCAAACAGGTTGTGGGGTCTTCAATCTGTGTTCAAAGCTGCTTTGTTAGAAAGCCAGTCCAGAGAAATGAAGCAGGAAATGAAGACAAGATGGAGACGTTTCAGGGGTCTTTTATATCCTCTGCCATGTGCATGGAATTTTATTTTCTCAAACAAAGCTGACAGCCTCTGTTTTTGGAAACTTTCTGGCCTAAGATGGAGTCCAGGGTCACATGAGCACATCACATTTCCTTAAATGCTTTAATGACTCACACAGGCAGCCATTACCCATATTCTTGATGAAGCATCCACAGGAAGAGCTATCTGAGTGGAATGAGCTTCTTCTATGACCCATTGTGAGATCTAAGTGTCCTTGATGGACCATCAATACATAGCTGTCTGGCCTTAATGTAAATTTTACCTGGAGGATATTACCCAGGAATACAAGTCCATGGGCAATATTCATAAGTTAAGATACAGAAATTATCCATTTATATAATTAGGATAGTCATACATAGCAAATTATAACTTTTCCATTGACACGTGACATGACATATTTGGTACAATATTTGTTGCAAATGTATAACAGTGGTAGCAACTATGACTAAATGGTCACATTCAATCATACAGCATCACACAGCTGAAATTTGAAGTTGCTCCACTATCTTGCCTATGGGGCCAATTCCAGTACAGGTATTCACTGAAAATGTTTAGCCCAGTAGTGAGGGCACTTGCTTGGGGTGAAAGAGTCCCTAGTTCAGTTCCATCCTCTATCTGATATGGAAAGGGGTTTCAAACCTCTCAGGTGTTACCAGCTTTGCCCTTTACTTTGGGGTATGTTCATTTATTAGGGTTACTCTTTGGGGAAGGGGGGTTTCTGTACTTCTATCAATGTACTGATAGAAGTACACAAATGCAAGAAGCCTGGGAAACAAGCAGAGAGAACTGGAAGTCCTGGCACAGTCAAGGAACTATGATGTCATTGGAATAACAGAGACTTGGTGGGATAACTCACATGACTGGAGTACTGTCATGGATGGATATAAACTGTTCAGGAAGGACAGGCAGGGTAGAAAAGGTGGGGGAGTTGCATTTTATGTAAGAGAGGAGTATGACTGCTCAGAGCTCTGGTATGAAACTGCAGAAAAACCTGAGAGTCTCTGGATTAAGTTTAGAAGTGTGAGCAACAAGAGTGATGTTGTGGTGGGAGTCTGCTATAGACCACCAGACCAGGGGGATGAGGTGGACGAGGCTTTCTTCTGGCAACTAGCAGAAGTTACTAGATCGCGAGCCCTGGTTCTCATGGGAGACTTTAATCACCCTGATATCTTCTGGGAGAACAATACAATGGTGCACAGACAATCCAGGAAGTTTTTGGAAAGTGTAGAGGACAATTTCCTGGTGCAAGTGCTGGAGGAACCAACTAGGGGCAGAGCTCTTCTAGACCTGCTGCTCACAAACTGGGAAGAATTAGTAGGGGAAGCAAAAGTGGATGGGAACCTGGGAGGCAGTGACCATGTGATGGTCGAGTTCAGGATCCTTACACAAGGAAGAAAGGAGAGCAGCAGAATACGGACCCTGGACTTCAGAAAAGCAGACTTTGACTCCCTCAGGGAACTGATGGGCAGGATCCCTTGGAAGAATAACATGAGGGGGAAAGGAGTCTAGGAGAGCTGGCTGTATTTTAAAGAATCCTTATTGAGGTTGCAGGAACAAACCATCCTGATGTGTAGAAAGAACAGTAAATATGGCAGGCGACCAGCTTGGCTTAACAGTGAAATCCTTGCTGACCTTAAACGCAAAAAAGAAGCTTACAAGAAGTGGATGATTGGACAGGGAGGAGTATAAAAACATTGCTCAGGCATGCAGGAGTGAAATCAGGAAGGCCAAATCACACTTGGAGTGCAGCTAGCAAGAGATGTTAAGAGTAACAAGAAGGGTTTCTTCAGGTATGTTAGCAACAAGAAGAAAGTCAAGGAAAGTGTGGGCCCCTTACTGAATGAGGGAGGCAACCTAGTGACAGAGGATGTAGAAAAAGCTAATGTACTCAATGATTTTTTTGCCTCTGTCTTCACGAACAAGGTCAGCTCCCAGACTGTTGCACTGGGCAGCACAGTATGGGGAGAAGGTGACCAGCCCTTTGTGGAGAAAGAAGTGGTTCGGAACTATTTAGAAAAACTGGACGAGCACAAGTCCATGGGGCCAGATACGATGCATCCGAGGGTGCTAAAGGAGTTGGCGGATGTGATTGCAGAGCCATTGGCCATTATCTTTGAAAACTCATGGCGATCGGGGGAGGTCCCGGATGACTGGAAAAAAGCTAATGTAGTGCCCATCTTTAAAAAAGGGAAGAAAGAGGATCCGGGGAACTACAGGCCAGTCAGCCTCACCTCAGTCCCTGAAAAATCATGTAGCAGGTCCTCAAGGAATCAATTCTGAAGCACTTAGAGGAGAAGAAAGTGATCAGGAACAGTCAGCATGGATTCACCAAGGGCAAGTCATGCCTGACTAACCTAATTGCCTTGTATAAGGAGATAACTGACTCTGTGGATGAGGGGAAAGCAGTGGATGTGTTATTCCTTGATTTTAGCAAAGCTTTTGATATGGTCTCCCATAGTATTCTTGCCACCAAGTTAAAGAAGTATGGGCTGGATGAATGGACTATAAGGTGGATAGAAAGCTGGCTAGATCGTCGGGCTCAACGCATAGTGATTAACGGCTCCATGTCTAGTTGGCAGCCGGTTTCAAGTGGAGTGCCCCAGGGGTCGGTCCTGGGGCTGGTTTTGTTCAATATCTTCATTAATGATCTGGAGGATGGCGTGGACTGCACTCTCAG